AATTGTCTTGTAAGACAATCCTCGTATCTCAAGATTCTTGTGCAGAACCAAAATACAGAGACCCAATGTTTTTCATCAATGATGTTATTTAACTTGTAGGTATTTACTGAGAATAATGACTATCTGTACCCTTCCAGTGTTTGTCTTGAATCTTAAAATTATATTTCTATTGACATATTTAGCTTATCTGAATTACTGAACATGAATGGCCCAGAGCAAGGATGAAAAATATATGGCATCTATGTGATCATTACCCACCCCAAAGACTAGCGCCCATTTGATCATAGTCTTAGTTCTTGCTGAGCTGAACCTGGCCTTGGAATCCTCAATAGCAGTGAATGAAGCCACCACAAGTAGACAGAAAACTGTCTTGCTGCCCATTATCCAGGGTTAAATTATCTTCTTAAAAGCCTCATAGGTTTCCCTCCTACTGTGATTGCCTTTTCTGACATTTCCAGATATTTTGGGTTGTTTCATTTTGACAAGTGGTGATTTATTTTTCTTCAAGGGATATTTTATTGTATTACAAAAAATTTGCCATGGCATCTACAATGCTTCCAAATATACATTAGGGACTCAATAAACATTTGTGTCTTAAATAGCTTTAATGCTGGAAATATAACACAATTATCACCTGGAACAAAGAGGATCTGATCTCAGTGACATCTGATTAGGAGGTAAGTTTTCTTCAGGTATGGAGGAATCACACACCAAAGGGCCCCAACTAAGTTCTGGGAAACTGGCAGAGCAAAGAAGAAATGTGGAAGTTCTAGTTCCGTTTGTGTTACAAGTTTCCAAAATATGAGGAAATATGCCAAATACCTTTGGCTTTCAAATGATAATATACTCTGAATTAATGACTAACAAGGAAACACCCACCGAGCAGTTCATGGACGGTATCTCTCCAAAGGTCAGATCCTGTTGGCAAATGACCAAAGAACCCTTCTCTCCAGCCAGTCAACGACTTCTAGAGCCAGGAAATGCTTTACCACCAACTCAGCATTATAAAATTGAGCAATTAAAAGTATCATTTACAGTTAATCTAATAACACCACTGAATATCCCAAAATTTATGTGGGAAATACATTTGATTGGGACTCTGACATGATTTGAAGGGAAATTTTATTTAAATAGAAAAGTAAAGATAAGCCTTTTTTTCTAGAAAAAAAAGGAGAAACAATGATAAGATTTTTAATATTCTTATTTAGTAATACAGTAGACAAACAATAATGTACTGAGGCTAATTTGAAGCCAAATGCAACAAAATTATAAATTCCCCCTAACAACTAAGTGTGTATCCTAAAATACCCTTGTTGGTGAATTTGCTTTACTTTAGATTTTGGGGCTTGTTTTTTTCCCATGAAGTTCACCATTAGATGGGTACTGTGCTAATATGACAAAGTTTGAGGGTGGCACATGTGAACACCCAATCATCACACTTACGGATGGCAAAAGGATTGAGGGGCTTTTAAAATAATTAATTATTTAACTAACATCAACATGTATGATGCCTTTCTTTGATTCCATTAAATACATTCTTTTATTCAGTTGGAGAAAATGAGAAATGGTTAAAAGGTTCCAATTATTTGCTAAAGCAAGTGAGTGAGAACATATGTAATACAAACTTAGCAGTCCTTCATTTGTTCATTCAATATTTATTGAACACCTGCTCTGTGCCAGAAACTCTGTTAGACACTGGGAACTAAAAAAGTGAAAATATAAGTATAGTTTCTACTCTCGTGGAGCTTATAATCTAGTCAAAACTCTTATATGAAACAAGTACAGAAATAAGTCAACAGTTGAGATCTATACAAAGCAATAAAGGGTGTTTACAATTTTCAGTTTACTTTAAAAAACTATTGTTACTTGCAAAAAAGAGGTAATTTTAACTAAATTTTGATTTACTCTTTAAAGGGATTTCAATTAAAATTTTAAAATACAGAAAGATCCACTAAATCGCTGTTTCTGAATGTATTTGTGTTAAAAGCAAAAATGACAAGACGTTTTTCTTAAGAAAAAAAAGGGCTAGTTATTCTACAAATACCTTTAACCAAGGCAGTTTCCAGGGGAATTAATGACCACTTTAGGTTAATGGTCATTGGATTCATGTTCAGCCCTCAATTAAACTCTGAACTTCAATTGTTATTACTTAATTGACTTGGTTATATTTCATGTCCGCATTTCAAAATGACCTTTCTTTTAAAAAATAAAAATTTCCCTGACATAGTGCCACAGGCCTTTATTTGACCTGCCATTGCTAAGCAGTCCACACTGTATATATGGTTGAACCTAGAATGTACTTGGCTTTGCTTTCACTAGGGTACTTCCCATTATCCTTGCCTATGAAATGAGGCAGCTTAGAATAAATCCATGTGATGAGGGAAAAAGGATGAAAAATTAAATATATCTGTTGCCATGATTATTATTCAAATGCCAAATAAATCCACTGAGATCTGCTTTATCCTAAGTGCAGGGAGTTACACAGTCTGAACAAATACCTTGAGCATCACAATTAAACACTGTCAAGGTATGCTTATTTAAAAATATTCCTGTATGTATCTCTTTCTCACAAGTCACTCTACGTTTAGTTGTTCTCTTTAAGCAGGTGAAAACTTAAGTCTCCTTTACACTTATACGGTAAACAAGTTGGATTTATTGAACCAATGAGTTGGATTTTATATAAAATGGGTATGACACCCAGATCAAAATTTGCTACACTGACTGAGACAAATTAAGGCATCAAATGAGTATTTCCCTTCCCCCTGTACTGTGGAAAAGTTTAAAAAGTCCTTTTGAAGTACTTTGATCAAGCTTTGAAATCATTTTGGTGGATTACTATTGTATGAAAACTGTAATTTATAGTGCTTGACCTAAGCAACTCTTTGTCTCACAGCCATATTCAAAACAATAGCAGGAAAGTGAAAAACACAAGGGGAACCCAGGCTGTTCTGGTTATTATTTAATTCATAATTCCATCCTCCTTATTTAATCTTTGGAATCCAGTCTTGTTCTTAATAAAACAGGTTCGGGCCACATTTGCTATGTACAGGAGGGTTAGTTTTGAGTAACTGGATTAGATGATCCAAACTTTGTCACATGTGACCCTTCCTTAACCCAAGAGCGACTTTATACAGACAAGTTCAGATAGGCGCTTCCCATAAATGGTGACATTGCAGGCAAACTCCTATTGTTTGCCTCTTAGTTTCCTTTCTAGTTAAGTTTGCTTTGTTCCTTAACTTTAATAAAAAAAAAAAAAAATGTGCCCGCTGGGAGATTTTCTCCTCTCATCTCATCACAAAACAGTTATACTTTGAGGCCACTTGCTCCCATCTGATCACATGCAGTTTCTAATTTTTTTAATGCATAATTTGAATCAGCTGAATACCGCCACTCAGGCTGACAGTAGCTGTAAAACCTAATATGTGTTTTTGGCTCCTTTTGCCAAAACACTTACTGAGGGCATAAACTTCATACCATACTTAACCCTGTAAAATCTTATCTCAGTTAAAAGTATTATGATCCTTCAGGTGCCGCCTATGCAATGAAGATTGACGGACTTGGAGGATGCTTAGATTGTGCTTTTGCCTGAAGAGATTGGATCAATTGCCTCCCCACCACTAGATATGCCCATCAGGACTAAGATGGGATACATTTTCGTCCTGGGATCATTTTCTAGAGAAAAACAGCCAAAGGGTAGTGAGAAAATGCAGAGCACATGTCCATGTGGAAGGAAACTGGCAAAGTTGAGTGAAGGGGAAGATGACCTGGACAAAGGAAGCAGTGAAGGCAGGAAGCCTATCAAGATGGTGAAGATTTAATTCAGTTGAGATACCAGATCTATAGACCGGAGCAGGCTAAAAAGAGGAGACATCTCAGGTATTTTGGTTCCAATGAGAAAAAGGAAAACAATGGGCTTAGCTCCCCAGTGAAAAGCAAGTGAGTTAACTGCTCATTTCGGCATTAATTAGTGCAGCCCACTAGGGACCACTTAGTAGATTACCTCATCAGGGCTCTCAGCAATCCCCTGGCGGCTTGTGAGTTAATGCACCCCCCAAAGACCAACAATTTATCATCTTTTTAGGGTGGAATCGAGCCTTGCAGATAATGAGCAGGTACACACACCAACGGTTAAAAGAAGATGATTTCCCCTGGAGGTCCAGTTTTCTACTATAAAGTAGAAAGCCTTCCTTTTTATATGCGATTTTAGGAGTGTTTTGAAGAGTTGACCTCACTAGGAAGCAAAAGAAAAAAAAGATTCACAATTGTTTATGATTTTAGGGAAGACATGAATGTGGGTGGAAAGGAGTTTATGCAGTCACCTTAAATGTCAGTACTGAATCAGCTCTGCGTTGAGTTGATCTCTCTCCAGGCTTCGAATGGGTCTCTCCTGTGTTTGTGAAGGCAGATGCTTGGCAAGTCTATATGTGCCAGGGAGAACGTCATTTCATTTTGCGTTTTACACACGTTCTTGCTTTCTGGCTTGGCATAATTCATCTCCATGGTGTGCAGAATGGGCCATAAAACAAGACTTGGCTTTAACGTTAATGTTCTAATGACGACAGCAATAAAAAGAAGTTGCCATTCCGCGTCTACTTTCTGGGACTGATGTTTACATTGTCTAAACTAAAAAAAAAAACCAAACAAGGAAACAATGCACAGAGATGGAGCACAGACAAGTATTTTTAACAGAGAAGAAACAAAGCAAGGAGGCTTCCAGCTTCCAATTTGGGAACATGATTCCCTTCTCTCCCACCCCCTCAACAACACCCCCTCAATTAAGAGTAGTCTATATAATCATCACGAGTTTTTGTGTGAAAAACTTTTGACAAATTCATAACCCTACCGTAGTATGTACATTTGACTGTTGGGCTCTTTCTGGGCCAAGTTTTTAAAGCCTCATTCATATAGAGGGGGTGGCGCCTCTGCTGGGGACACCAATACCTTTTCACAACACATTATGTCAGGGCAATAGGTATAAGAATAAATATAAAATGCAAGCGCCGTTTTTATTTTTTAATTTATTTGTGCACACTCATCATAAATTTGTTTAACGTAAAACAAACAAATCCTTGACAAGGGTTTAACAGGATTTTCAACATCTGTGCAGATAAATGTAATTTATTCCTAAAGCAGAAAAAGCAGTTTAGAGCATGCCATGAAACCTGCTTTTAACAACATTTTTGTTTAAATGTGTGTGTGTGTAAGTGTGTGTGTGTCAAGGCAGCAGAGTAATGGTTTCAAATCATTGTTTCACTCACAAAATCTGCATGATGAATTTTACACAATACAAAAGTTTGTCTGATACTTCTTTAGCATTGTATCTTCTGCCTCTCTCCTTTGATTTAACACAGCCTGCTAGAGTTAAAATCCACAAGTGTTTGGACCCGACATGTGTCCCTTGAAAGGAAAACCTGCAGGCAGATTTTCCCCAAACCTTTTTAGGCACAAAATTAACAAAGTGAAAATTATATATTTAGTTTTTTGAAAGAACTAAGCAATGACTATAACTGAACGGTGTTTGTAAAACTTACATTGTTATTAATATTTCCAAAATCACCCCTACAGCATTATAAATGTCAGCATGGGGGCAAATATTTTACTCAATACATTTTGGGCACAGGTTAATTTTTAACTTCCCAAAAGATAGGTTTAATATTAACTTATTGATGTTTTGCTTTAGACTGAAGCATGGTTTTCAGTAAATGAAAAGGAATAAATTAAAGTTAACAAGTACAAAATCTCCTTTATTTTGTTTATTTAAAAATTGTTCTAGGTTTATTTCTGGTACACTTAGTTCATTCAACGCTGAACATTTCTAATGCCTAAATTATGTGAGTGTTATATAATTATGTGGTATAAAATGCATGTACAAAGCAGTTTACAGAATGTGCTTTTAAAAAATTCAACTTATAAAAATACTGGCTTCCATACATACTGACAACCAACCACGTTGAAAAGTAAACTCTCCTCAGTGCTGGCAGGGAGCTACTTTCCCCTCCTCTCAGCCTTCGGCCAAAGAAGTGTAGTTTCCAGACACAATGTAACTCATATTTTTAAATGAGATGAATGTAAAATATTTGGTGTTCTAGTAAGCATTCTAAAGAGGAAATTCTCATCCAGAATATTTTTGCAGCTTGGCTTAATGTCACAGAAGTCGGGCAAGCTCAAAGACTGGACAACACAAGCACACAGTACAAGTGGCCGTATAGGTCTACTGGAGCCTGAAGGAGAGCGTGAACATTTAGTGACTTTGTGTTTTCAGCTTTTCCAGGTTTGTGCTAGATTATTCCATGAGGATAAGGCAACACTGGGTCTCTGTGAGTTCATATGGAGAGAAAGGGAGCAGGGAGAGAGAAGGAATGGAGAATTAGAAAAAAAATGAGAGGGTGATTTGGTAACTGGGAGGAGAATTGAAAAGTCACACCTTTCAGTCTTCACATTTTTTTTCTTGTGTTCGACATACAAGGAGAAACTATCTGGAAGAAAGAAAGATCATGACTATCTATAAACTAACTGTTTGACAGAGACAGAAATGCTGATAATGAGTGGGTTGTGTCTGTAGTTCTTAGCTGTTCACATCAGCAAGAGATGAAGGAAAACAGAAACTCTTGATGTTTGTCTAAAAAGGTAGTGGTGTGACCACGGGCAGCAAGAGTTCAGCTGAAGTTCAGGACAGATGTTGCTGGGAGTTTACATGACAGGAAAACAAAATTGCTTCTGGATTCACCTTTTTCTTCTAGCTTCTCTTCCAGGATCTTCAAGGTCAAGCTATACTATGACATAAGGTGACAATGTCTGTGGGGAAACAGGCTTTGAGCAGGATGCCCCTCTCCCGGTTGCAGTCCAGCTCCTGGATAAATCCATACCAATAGATGACCAGGCCAGGCCCAAACCTGCAAAAACATCAGAAAATAACACACACTGTATCAATATAGTTCCAGAAAAAAGGCTTCTCGGAGGTAATATGATTAAATGACTGGATGGCACAAAGTTTTTGTTTTGGTTGTCATCATTAGACTGAAAATAGCTGAACTTATACCAAGAGCTCATTTAATGCAGGCACTGACATCCTTGGACAGATGTGTTACCTTTCTTTTAAGGACCTGATGCGTTCCAGGTACAGAGACTCTTGTCTTACCTTTCAGGAGGTGTTATGAGCTTGGGCTGATGTGACTACATAGCAGATGAAAGACAAAATCAAAACAGAAAAGAGACATGCTGGGAACGCCCAGTTTAGGACTCTAGTCTCCTAACGTTTAGTGGCATTATTTTAAAAATTAAACTTACATATTTTCAACTAAGGAGAATACAATAATATTTGAAAAATGTTTAAAAATATAACAACTTAAGGTCCTCTTCTGGCTATAATGCTCCATCCATGCACACACAGGGCCAGAAGTACTTCCTGTCACTTATATGACACTAGGATCTTTCAAAGAGTCCTCCCTGTTTCCAGACCCTTCACTGCCTGTGTTACGACCTCTCTAAGTGCGGACACAGCATGAAGTCTGGTCACAGGTTCTTATGGAAATGCGGAATAAGGTCTCATAGACTTGTGACAAAATACAGACAGATGTAGGCTCAAAATCTCAATGTTTCCAAGTCGTGCCTCTGAATTATCTCCAACTCTGTTAGCAGTGACTGATCCCCATCAGGCAGACTCAGGAAGTAGCCCTATAGACGACTTTACCCATCAGGAAGTTGAGACCTTTAGGCTGGGTTCATAAAGATGTAATCACTATCAATCACCGTGTGCAGAGAGATGTTTTGCACATCAGTTGCACGTTTTCCCTACCGAGAGCACTTAATTAAAGGGCAGCACTGCTTTTGGTGTAGTGTTGCAGGAATTTTACAGTGAAATCATAAATTATGAATGCTGGGTTAGTAAAAGGATGTCTAAAAACAGAACTGCTTTCTGTATTCTGACATTACAGCAGGCTGAACCATGCTAGGCCAAAAAGCTTTTTCCTTCCATGATTTATGATATGCTGTAGTGTACTTGCCAAAACTAACAGTACAGGATGGGCTGTGAGATACTGTATGCACAGGAACAAGTTCAGTTGGATGTCATGGCCTGGTTTACTTGGGGATTCACATTCATAGGGCAGCCAAGTTGTATTCAAGATTAATTAGAATTTTTTCGGTCCCCTCTGTGAAGGGACAGAACCACGCGATGGCAACTCATCACTTGAACTTGTTCTGGAGGATGCAGAGACTTGAGTATGATAAGAAGCCTTGGAGCACCAGGCCCAGTGAGTTTTACCAGTTGCAGATCTCCAAGGAAGAGTTTCCTGTGAGGTCAGAAGAATGAGGCTACCTGTCTACCTGGGCATGTGGGTTCTCATGCTCAAATGCACACAAGGTGAGGCTCACATCGGGACAGGAACTTGCTTCCATTTAAATAAGGGTTTCTTAGCAACTTTTAATCACAAACAATGGTCTGAAATGAAACATAAACCATTTGGTACCTTTATTTTACAAGAGCTCTGTGATTAGTGTCAAAAAGAAGGTTTGTCAAAAGAAGTTTGGCAAAAGCAAGAGGATTTGTGATTCTGCGTTCCATGTCTGAGAAGCCTCAAACCTTCTCATCAGTGAAGCACTTCCGAGTTGCATCCTTGGCAGACCCAACATTAAACTCAACACATTCCTCCATTTTATTACATAACCATTCTGGAGACCATGATGTTCTTTAGAAAGGCACTAATATTTTCACAAAGGGAAAAAAAAAATCGTGATCTAACGAGTCACAGAGAAGAACAAAAGAATATATGGGAGTCATAAAAAACAAGCCCAGTAGTTTAAAGATTTAATAAAACAAAAACACATATCACCAGCACTGAGAGAGCAAGAGCAGCCCGCACTTTCCCTGAACAGCTAAATCATAAGCCAAAGGACACAAAGCATGACAGCTCTTTACGAAATGGCATTTTCTAGGCAGAAAAGTCAGCCTGGGGAACACCTCCATGCTCAAGAAAATGAACTTGTTTCACTTGTGAGGCAACAGATGAAACCTGCAAGTCAAAAAGGTTTTGCAAGATTGTGAACTAGAACAAACATTTCATGTCATTTACAACCAGGATTCTCCAAAGGTAGTAGTAACACAGATCTAAGAACATTTTTAGTAGGATTCATGAATCAGGTGCTACTATCTAAGTTTTTATTTCTCATGACTTCATATCAACTTAGGTAACATTACCTCTGTCATGCAGCTCAAAACATCTGATTGACAATATGTGTCTAATTAATTAAAAACAAGGAAATACAACTTCCCTTTGTAAACAGAGATTGGTAGAGAGGTTTTTCAAATTATGTGGTCTTTGGGTGACAAAAATAATAGGAACTTTAGACAGTGACAAGCGGGGAAATTTAATGGCAGAACAAGATCTGGCCTTGTTCCCAGCACCTACTTGAGTGCACTTCTGAGCTTTCTCCAACAGTGCAGGATGCAGAGATTATCAGATGCTGGCCAGATAGCCTTTCAGCAACTTACATGTTTATAAAGGTGCCGGCCACATTAAGCAACCTTATATAATCAATTCCTTGGTTATCTGAACTAACAGAAGGGACATTTTTGGTTGCTAATTTGAGAAGCAAGCAACCCAAAACTGTAGCGTTTCCTATTGAAAAGGTGTAAAACAAGACCCTAGAAAATTTTTATGTAGGTCAAGGACACATTTACGGGTTGAGTGATTTCACCTTTTTTGATGCCTATTCTCATTTACTGTGGCACCACTGGACAAAAATGAGATCACTGGAAAGGCAAATATAACCTTTGTGACCAATAAAAATCAAAGAGATTCTGTTAACAGTACTGCAAAGAAAACAGAGTCCCTGGGTCTAAGGGAATGTGCAGAGTAGAGGGCTGGTCTGCTACTGGGATTGCAGGCCTCCCAACCTCCCACCAGCCGGGAGACACTCCGTAATGTGATGAACACAGACATCTGAATTGTTCTGTAAACATTTTCAAGGTTGAATATAATTTTATGGTTGCTATACTCATGGTCAAATAATAAGATCAAAGACTCCCAATGGATTTTAAGAACTCCCGGGGAGCAGAGACTAGAATGTGAATGACTTTGGAATAATTTTGCTTGCAAATAAAATATCACCAAATTAGCAAAAACAACAAATACTTCTTGAAAAAATGGGAGGAGAAAGTCAAGAGCCATGACAGACCTTGAAGTCATGAAGGATGAAGTTTTTCATAAATAATGACAACCTTACAAATATGTTCAAAATGTGTGTCTCTGGTTTCCTTCCATTTTAGAGTATTTAGAGAAATTCAACAGGAGACCGTGGAACCAAAGCTGGGTACCCTTCTGTGCATACCTGTCTCCTGGGAATTATCACTCCATGTCACTATTTGTCTCTGTTAGATTGGGACCCCGCTGAAAACAAAGACCACGTTTTATTTATATTCACATCCTCCATGCTTAGCAGAGTGCCTGATACATGACAGATATCCACAAGGACAAGAAGAACACAAAGTTAGTAATATGAGGATCAGACAGCTTTGTGCTGTCTGATCAGTCGTAATCTAGAGGACACACAGGCAGGACTTGGCCATTGCCTCAGCATGGCATTTTTATTAATAACCATGATGAGTACACTAGTGGCATAGAGTCCATGGTGACAATAATAGTAATAGTTATAACAATGTTAATTATTCATACTTTCATATCACTCACTATGTGCCAGGCACTGTTCTAAGTAGTTTATGTATATCAGGCCCCTTAATTCTTATGCCAACCCCACAAAGTAGGTACAGTACAGTCATTGTCCTTGTTCTACAACTAAAAACCAAAACCAAAACCAAAACAAAACAAAAATACACAAGGCACAGGCAATTGAGTCGGTTGCCTAAGGTCTCACAGCTAAAAAGTAGAGGAACCGGTTTTAGAACCAAGGCAGCCTGGGATTGTACTCATTACAATGTAGCGATTAGTTTACTAAACAGGATGAAAGAGTATTAGACTTTAACCAGAATAAGAGAAGAAATGCCCTTTGCACTGGTTACACCATACATAGAGTGTTCTGGAAGGTTCTAGTATCATATTTTAAGGGAAATACCTACAGTCTGAAACTGACCCAGAGGGGACTCCTAGGATATTTGAGGAACAGTTAGAATAACACAGTATGTCTTCCCTAGAAATAAGCAGTTAAAGTGGTAACACACATATACACAGTGCTCCTGGGGTGGAGGGATTTGATTCACGCTGCAGCTCAAGTACAGACTTTGGACAATGCTTGAAAGTAGCCAAGAAGTAGGTTTTGGTTCAACACAAATACAATTTTTTCCTGTAATTGAAACTTTTTAAAACATGGAGTGAGCTGCTTTGCAAAATAGCAACATCACTAGATCTATTAAATTAAGGCTGGGCTTCCACTAATTTTGGGGGGAGTTTTTATACAAAATCCTATTAGCTTCTTTTGAGAAATGAATGAATTAGGCAACAAGCAGCTGGAGGTAACTAACAGCTGCCCCCTGCAGACATAACATAGGTTCGCAGGTTTGCCACAGTCCCTACCATTCTCTCTTACTCCCTAATGCCAGGTATCATTTATCATCATGCTTGTATTGCGGATTTTCTTATTGTAGAAATCTATTTTTCCATACTCACATTTCTATCACATATGGGGAAGTAATGACCTTAGAGTTCCATATTTCTTTTCTTATGTCCTGCCTACTGTATTCATTTATATCGCCTGCCTAGCCTCTGTGGACATTTGAGTTATTGATCCTGCCCAGGGATGTAACCAAGAGGTTCCCAACCTTGTGCCAGAGACCCTTGAGGGGCTATAAAAAGATTGTAAAGATATCATTATATATACCAAGCACTGTCTTCAAACAAAAAAAAATGTATATCTTGTCTTATTGTAAAAAAAAGTATAG